TTGTAACACTTCGATGTAGATATTGACGTGTAAAACTTCGACCTTCGATGTGTGGTCATTCAAAAATGCTGTCCTAATGAGGAAAGCCACGTGTCCGATAAGATACATCTGTCCTGCCAAAATATGCCACAACATGTTTGAATACCAGATATTTTATACAAATTAATACCTTCAAACTCTGGAAACAAGATAGAAGACAGTAAAAATTACTCAACTGATACACTTATGTTGAAAGAAAGAAATTATATGTACTATAAAGTGATTTATTTATGCGTGTAATGTTTTAATATGAAATATTCAAATGACATATATTTGAGGATTGATATTAAATGATATACTTTAAATTTGTGAGAAGATGTACTTAAAATCTTCAATAAGCAAGCATCAAAAGTCAGTAAAATATTTGAACGTTTAAATAGTTCTATAACTAAATGCTAGAAATGAAGATGTGTGACCATTCAAATGTAAAGCTCACTTACGATATGTGAAAAGATATACCGTAGACAATGAAATCTTTACGTGATTATTTCTTTCGAAATAATTCTGAAATATGTGGAAATAAGTATTTATTTTTCATTTAATAAAATTGTTTGCATTGAAGTAATTTGTGATAGTGAATATATTTTCTGGTGGTCTGAAGCAAATTCTTGCAAGGCCAGAATCAGATTCGTATAACATGTCTGGAACTTTACATGTCCAAATGAAATAATTATTTTGGATTGTAAAATATATTCCATTTACGAGACGAGTAGATAATTTCAATATAATTAAACAGTGATGAACCATTAATTCTACATCAGATCACGATCTACACCAGCACAGATATATATTCTTTATGTATCTTTAATTTCTATTGCCATGCAACGCAAATTCCATTATCTGTTATTACAGACTTAAAGAGGAATGACGTGTGTCAACATTTCAGTACAGGTATTAATCAGAGTTATAGAAGCATGCTGTATTAAACAAACGAAATGTACCGGACAATATGGAAAATAATGGTCAATTGTGACGACAGTATTTGGAATAAAACATGATGAAAAGGAAGTATATAAGTACTACATTGTCTATTGCTTTAAGATAAGTTTTTTAATCATGATGACAAACACAAATACAATAAAATAATACGTGAATGGTTTTGTTATCACTGTGACTGACACTGACTTCCATTTGAAGAATCGCTTATCACGAAAATTAATTTTTGGATACATAAAATAGTTATTTGCAAAAGAATTAGGAAGAGCTTCCATAACAATGCCTTGGCTAAGTCCCGAAACTGGCTAATTACGTCAACTCAAGAGCGCTAGATTACTGCGATTTTTTTTATGTCGTGATACAAGAAGATAAGTGCGTGATGTCTCTAAAACAATTTCTCTTGGACATTAACCCCTGAAACGTGGACATGAATGAATGAAAGAATTACTTGTCGTTGCGTGGCCCAATTCACACGAATTGACTTCTCAAAAAAAAATCTAGGCCATGTTACTACTACTGCGTATCAAAGGACATAGTCTGGTATGTCGCATTGTGACACTTTGCACAAGTAAGCGTCTCTGGTTTCTCATCCTACTGAACTACTTCCATTTTGAAGAGTTATCATTAACTCACTGGAGGTGTAGAATTGCTATCTCAAGTTCAAGAATATTTCAAGGAATTTTCGTTACGTCTTTCAAGAGAAACTTTCCAAAATCACTAGTTTTTCGAGAGAGAGTTAACTTAAAAATTATGCGAGCATTATTAATTTATGGAATCAGTCCAATTGTGATTACAACTACTTATCTGTGAAGTTGCAGAAACAATAATAACAAGCAATCTAATGACATTCTCTCGAGAGCACACAAAGAAAAATAAAACTAATTCACGAAATAACTCATAGATACACATTCAAGAGCAGAAGAGTTTACAAATAAATATTTGAAAATGTGGCAAATATATTTGTGGAGACGAGAAAAATGGTTATCAAGTCTGAATCGTTCCTTGCTTCAATATCTAATTGAATTATATTGCAAGAAGGTTTCGTGTTTATCTCTATTCAAAGAGGGTTCAATAAGCAGGCACATGAAACATTGACAAGGAAGTTTTCAAGAAGATGCATACCAACGTAGAATCTTACGATTTCGAGCTTTTGGTGTGAATGTTTTTACATAATATGATAGATTTTGTGATACATAAGCAAATAGTTTTATTCGTAATAGTAAATATGAAATTCAGATATCTTAATTATTACGTAATTTCTTTCAAATTTCAAAAGATGTAATAAAGAACTGGTAAAATGTAATTAATGTTCAATTCAGAGACAGTTAAAAATGTTTAGATCATATACATTGGACAGCACAACTTGTAAAATAAGTAGTATTGCATCAATATCAGTATTAATTATATATTTATTCTATTGACAATACTTTTAGAAATATTGTCAGTATTAATTAGTTATAAATTAAGTAAAATTGCTCCCTACCTATAACACATTCGCTTCCTAAATATATTGTCTGTGAAAATTCTACTTTATTTGAGAGTAAAGGTACCCTATGGATATGTAAAAAGAGAACAAATCTAACGTAGAAGACAAGATATACTATGGAAGGATGTGACTATTCACACTGCACACAAATGAAGCTTCCCTGAAAATAATGCAGTACGGAATAACACACAAGGTTCATTTTTTCTAAAAGTATTAAGGGAGATAATTATATCAAATAGCTATTCCTCATTTACTTCTAGGCAAGATGTGTGCTCATTGAAATTTCATTAAAAGACATGCAAGTAAGAACGTTTTCAATACATTATTTTAAAAGTTTTATTTCTATATGGAGAATGCACTCTAATTTTAATTTTACTATTAAATTATACAACATATATTTTTCCAGTGCAAAGAAGATCACATCGGACACATGAAAAAAATATCAGAGAGAATTATAAAATATTAGTGAAAGTATACAATAATATTTATATGTGATCTATACAAGATGTGTGTATCAAAATTGAATTGCCAATAATAATGCTAATATGACACAAGACGAGAAAGATAGACGCTTCTACAATTCGATCCTCAAAACCAAAGCTACGTTAAAAATACAATATTAATCTGCTGTTTGCTCATACTTTGTGTGCATCGATGTATTAGATAGCAGTTTAATAGTGAACAATGAAACGAAACTCTCTTCACTAAACTTCTGATTCTTCTGAATATCAAGACTCTCAAGAAAACTCTTGACTGCTAGTCCATGGCAAATGAATAGATTTTGAAGTAAATTTTATACCATTGACCCTAGTTGGTCACTAGTACTAAGAACGCATCGATCTAATCTCAACAGTAATAAAAGCACTCAGTGACAATTGTATTTCAAAGCCACATTCAGGAGAGTAGGGTATAGGTAGTAGGGTATATATGAAGTATAGGTAGTATATAAGGGTATATATGTTGAAGGGGGAGTAGTAGGTGAGTATGTATGGTATGTATTATTACGAGAATGGGTACGAGTGGGGTACAGTGGGACAAGGAACATGGTTTCGAATAATGGTTTTGCTTGAGAAAGAACAAGTTTGGTCAGTTACTTGATAATGTTGAACCGACCCAGAGATTGATAGAGATCTAAACTGCCATTCCCCCATGTGGGTGTTCTGTGTGGGGAGGAATGTGGAGATGAAGCGCACTGTGAATGATGTAAGGAGAAGGGAGTCATTCATTCCATTGGTGTTCTTGTGAGAATTTAGATTGAATCGCATTTTAATATGTAAGGAAATTGAATCATGAGCTGCAAAAGCTAAGTAACTCTGGAGTGGGGCTGAAATGCTTACTCAATGCACCGATCTATCTACATCTACATCTTATTGCACATACTTATAAAAAATCGTTCTACATCAGAGAAACTAAACTGGCTTTTCCTCACTACACCAATCTTCATACATCAGTATTACAAGCAGTATATGAAGGAAATTTACTGAAAAAGAAGTTCAAATCGTGAATATCAGGTATTTCAAAAGTTTGTGACAAGAATTTTTATATTTAAAAAATATCGTTCCAAAGAACACAAAAAGAAGAAATGTTTCCAAGAAAAACATTGTTTTGGCAAACTTCACATACAAACGCAAGATAAAGGAATCTACAAATTGTCACATCTTGCAAATCCAAATCTCATCTCGTATACTTTCAACTAAACCAGCGTGTGCACAACGAAATATGCCTAATATGAAACAGAAGCTTAATGAAATTAGATATCTGTTCTGCATACATTTTGTAAACCGTGTATTTTTACGAAGAAATATTGAAATGGATAAGAGGTGATGAAAGTATTTTTAATTTTTTCTAATGTGAATTTAGTGAAGTTAATATTTTTCCATGTGGCATTTATCAATTTAAATATCGACAGGCGAAGTTACCTATACCGATGAAATCTCTTTACAGTATTGAATTTTGAAGGTAAGAATTTTAAATCACGCATGCGTTTTATGCATCGTAGCTGACCTGTGAATTCAAATTTTTCAAGTTATTTAGAAAAAAATCAGCTTACGTTAAAAAAGATAATGAAAAATTAAGAAAATTTGGAACTTTTGTGTGCGAAGATAGGGCTGAAAAAAGAGCAAAAATTTTTCAACACTAATGATTACTGTAAATTTTGAAAACATAAATATGTTAGTTGAGTATCTCATACATAATTTTTAAAGCCAATTGTCTGTGGACAATAGACAGGTGACAAATATCGAACGGCAAATGATTAGCGTCAAACATTTGGCGCCAAATATTTATGGACAAATATTTAGCACCAATTGTCTAGATTTAAATGCCTTGCAAAAAACGTCTAACGTCAAGTGTTGTTCGCCCAACGTCAAACGCTAGATCTATCGCGTTCAATGTTGATCTCAAAATTAATTGCGTCAAATACTACCTTGCACCAAATATCTATCGGGAAAAAAAGAAAAAAACAGCTTGCGCCTTGTGTCTAACGCTAAATGTATTACACCAGACTTGTAAAGCTAAGTGTTTTGCGTGAAATGCGTAGCATGCGACGCCTAGCGCCCAAAGCCTAGCGCCAGCCCCGCCGACCAACGGATCTGCGTCGCCGCTGTTGCAGTTCTGGGCCGCCTACGTCCCCTGCGAGTCGCAGCACCTCAACGCCGTGCAGCTCACCTTGGAGCAGATCGACCTCATCAAGCGACTCATCGACAAGTACCAGGACGAGCTGCAGTTCGCCACTTCGGCCGCAGGTGGGTCCACCCCCTCCAGATCCCCCAGGGCTTGATTTCTGGCGGAACGCGACGGACCGGCATTCGCGGGAATAATTCTAGGACCCCGCTGAATAACTGATAAGCCATTGTTTTTTTCATTTATTCTAGCTTGGCCATTGGCCCTCTGCAGCCGCACAATATAATGATACGACACGAATGCTTAAATTTTACAGGACAGCAAAAAATATCTTCTAACTGAAGTTAATCAGCGATTAATAGTGTTCACACGAAATTGATATTCAAACTAAACTATCATTAATCTCTGATTTACTGCATCAGCAGAAACTTAATTTTTTGGCTCTACTATAAAATTTAAACATTCATGACTTATCAGCATACTCGCTGGGGTCGAAGAATTATTAAATGATGTAATAAATATTAACTATTTCCGTTAATTAATAATTAAATTTGACCTTCCTTTTATAAATCAAGCACTGAGATCTCCCGTTATGAGTTCATACGCTGCTGCCTCTACTGTTCACTTCGTCGCCCCCTACTTTTCAGAAGGACGTTTTCAGCACTCAAGAACGGTTTTACTTATTTATTTATAACCATCATGTCAACATGGAGGTGGTTAGTGGACACAAGATCGTTGCAAAGGTTGTACAGATTTAGGACATCATACTCTACTTAATACACTACAATTTCTTCAGAGATATTTTTGAAAATTTCGATCCTCGAAAGCTTTCATTTTGACGACATATATGTTTTTTTTCTTATTTATGGAATTAATTTTGTCATTTCTATCAGCAAGAACAAAAGAAGAAAATTGATTAGATCTAGTAATTTTCAAAATCAGAAAAGTATTGGATATACGTCGGCAGCCTCATTTGGTCCGCATTTTAGGACTGATTTTACTGATACCTTCTTCAAAATACTTTTGTAATTTTTTTGTAAATATTAGTCGACAATGGCATGAATTGAAATGTGACTGAATTAGAATGCCTTGATTGAGGCTCTGAATCGATATTAGCGGCCCCTTATGTCTCCATGAGGTATGTTTATACTCTCAAATGGTTTGTAGCAAGGAAGAGTACAATTTAGTTTACGGTACATTAATTCATTTATAGTATCTCATTTACTCCATGTGTAATACAATGATACTCACTGATAAGTTTCAACACTACATCATCTTTAAGATAATATTAGGCTTGATCTTGCGCTCAAGGAACCCTCCATCATAGTGTTCGAATGTAAGATGCAGCCAGAAGCTTCAATGTTGAAGAATCCATTGCATTGGATAGTAAGAGGCTAAAGTATATTTCGAAACAACTTTCAACTGCAACACTATACGACTCTAAATACAATGCATTATCGCAGCTGCAACCTGCATGTAACTGTAGCAAAGCCTTTTCTCCATAACCTTTAATCTCAAACAAGTCTTCTTAGGAACAATGAATGCATAATAACAAAAAAATCGGTTTTACATTAAGATGTTAAAAGAGTAAATACGAAGGCCGAAAATTATAATTGCTTGTAATACGTAGTTGAAAATAGACGGCCATGTTCTCAAGACATATGAAAAAAATATTCGAAATTTTCGTTAAGGAAGAGTCTAGTATTTAACATAATAAATAGCATTATTTGCAATACATGACCAGGTGAGTACTGTTGTTTGTAAATTGTTTGGGTAATGTTGCTTATTTAATAAAAAGGATGAAGAAGAACAAGAAAAAACACTAATGCACGAAAAGTAGAAGCCAGGTAAGGAATTGCCCGTTGGATACAGCCAGCGAATATTCATTTTCTAGTCGAGAGCTGAAGCTTATTAGAGATGGAAGTTGAAAACATGGGCTGGACCTGCCTCATTCCAACAGACGCTCCTTCTGCTAGCAGAGATATCTCGACGCCAGCTTCTCATCTGATAAGAAAGTCGCTCGCTAAAGTGGTTGCTGATGCGGAATTTGATAAATGCAATTAAAGCGGGAAGTAAATGTCATTGGGAAATTAGTTCTCGGTTATTACGAAAATATGTAGATTAAATATTTACATCAAGATCACGATTTATTATAATTTTAATATTTTTCAAACAAAACGATAAGACAAAGCAATGTCTCTAATTAGTCTCCTGCAACAAATTTTTGGCTTAATCGTGGAAATTCATCTTTCTAAAATTTAATTCAAGTTAAGGCAAAGTATTAAGATTTCAAATATCTCTTTTTCAAGATTACAGAAGTTAAAACTAACTTTTTATTGCTTGATCGTTGATATATTGTGAGCTTCCTCATATTAAAAAAAAACGAAATATTGTTCTTAGTTAAAAAATGTGTTTTTTGCGCATTTTCTTCCAAAATATGACATCGCAAAAAACACGAGTTGAAGAGACACTATGTAAATGAAGATGACATTTATATTATTATTATTATTATTATTATTATTATTATTATTTCTATCTTGTAAATGATATTTTAGGTTACTCTAATATAACAAACGTTTGCATTTTGGAACTCTAATTTCTGCTGTATGTTGTAGAACTGCTGTACTGCAACTGCATGGCGGTCACAACAGACACACCGCAATTATTTTGTATTAATGGTTTTTTGTTATTTACTACTACTGTGCCAAATTCTAGAGATTGGATTTCCCCCACAAAACCCCCGTCATTTATTTAACATTACATTTACGATTAATATATTTTACCTGGTAGTGACAATTTCCAAATGCCACAACTATCAGACACAGAAACAGGGAAACCGAATTGATTAACCAGGCCCGCCCCCATTTACGTTTAATTGAAGTAGTTTCAGAGACCATGAAAGTTTGTTTTTGAATACATCAGGTCAGAAAACTTTATTTTATCTTCCTCGACGCAATCAACTCCGAACTTTTTCCAATTAATTATCGAGCTTTAGAAAATATTTTCATTTTCTTTAGTGTCGTGCAGGCATCTGGTAATAGAAATTTCGGTTTATGTAGTAGTGTGATATCTTAGGATAGAAGTATGTATCTTTTAAAGGAGATAAGGTGAGGTGTTGTACCTCGGACCCATTTTGACGTTAGTACTTTTAATTTGCCGTTTCGGGACCAAAAATGACCGAAATATTTATTCTGGATACTCTAAAGTTTTATACTTCTTCTTCTTCACTTCATAATTTAGGGAGATTCCTTTTTCCGGCTTTATAACACCATCGCTGTCGTAGACAGGCTATCTCCCTTCTTCGCCTTGGTCTGTACAGAATGGGGTGTTGAGGGATCCTTTCGTGAGACATTCTTCCTAAGTACTGTACCCACCGTGATCTGCATTGAGTTGTTTTTGCATCGATAGAAATATGATAAGTTCCTGTCTTATATTTTCATTTTTTTTCCATTGGGGTGTAGCGATTTACTCTCCGGAGGAATTTAATTTCAGAGGTTTGTATATTCATTTCGTCTTGTTTTCTTATTGCACATAATTCACACACGTATAGCAGTTGTGATATTGCCATGACTTTGTAAAATTTCAAGTGTCTCTTTTCTAGTTTTATTGCGAAGGTATTAGTTAGTTGTTCCGCAAGTATGTTGGATAGGCAATTATGTTTTCATATCATTACTGTAGTCTTGTGTGATATCACAGCCTAAATAATTGAAATATTTTACTTGCTCTATTATTTTGTTTTCTATTATTATTATTGATTTAATTCTGATAGGTTATTTGCTTTTAAATGCCATCATTTTATTTTTAGAGACAGATATTGAGAGACAATATTATTTGCATATTCTATTGAGCTGGACGTTTGCAGACATATTTCGTTATCTTCTATAGTTATATGGTCTTTCGAATATAGAAGTTATTGCAGAGGTGTAATTGGATTTATCTAAATACTTGGTTTACTTAAAATTTTCCATTCCCTTAAAATGTTGTCAATATAAATATGAATAAGTGGGGGACAAGCTGCAGTCTTGTCTTACAACACTTTTAACTCTTCTAGCATTTTGTTACCCACTTGTAAATTAATACTCGTTTTGTGAAAGAAGGATTTAATAACTTCTAACAAGTGGAAAGGTGGCCCCTTTCTCGAAGATTTTGCTAGAGAAGTTCACGATTAACTCTAGTAAACGCTTTCTTATAATATATAAAAGATATGTGGGTCTCTACGTTGAACTCTCGTCTCTTTTCAATTGTTTGTTTTATGGTAAAAGCATTGTCTGTACATGATCTTCCTTACCTGAAGCCACTTTGTTCTTCCAATTCTTTATATTCGTAAACTTTATAATAGTTGGTTAACAGACTTATATCACTGTCATTCTGTGACTGTTTCTATTTCCTTTCTTAAAAAACGACATAACTTCTGCTTTCTTCCATTCAGGGATTTGGCATTCTCTCCAACAATTATTAAATAGTTCAAGAAGTCTGTTCTTCAGTTCTCCACCGCCATATTTTAGCAATTCCGCATTGATGCCATCTACCCCGGAGCTTTTCTATTTTCCATGCTTGACAATGCATATTCCATTTCTCGTTTTCTCAAAACTATTTGAGCTCTTTGAGGGTGGTTGTATTGTAACTTATCTTCAACTATTAGAGTTGGGTCATACGGGAGATCTTTATAATATTTGAGCCTTTCATCTTTCTTTATTACATTTAGTTCTGCTCTGTCCTTTTCCTCTGATTTTAAATGTTTCATAATCTTGTAAGCCAGACTCTAACTACCATGGACATCATATTCAATTGTGCTGATGAAAACTATTTTTGTGAGCTTTCTTCACTGATTTGCGTGGTTCCTTTTACGTATGTAGTTTTCTTTCCTCTCTTGTGTTAATTTCTGAAGTAATTTTTGACAGGCATTTTTCTTTGCACGTATGTCCTCAGCATTCTCATCGTTCCAGGTTTTCAGGCCTTTTCTTTTTCTGTGTTTTCTCCTTTTACCAATAGTTCATGTGCTGTAGTACTTATAATATTTTGAATATATCTCCACTCTGCGGTAATGTCTTCTAAAGGTATACGTGCGGTTATTTGTTTCAGATGTGTCTGATAGAGATTTCTTATGCCTTCTTCTCCTAAGAGATGGACTTTGTAAATATCTCTGCTCATAGATTTCCCGTTTTTATACTGTTTTTTCATAATTTTCTTCCATCGGGCTATAATTGAGATCTTGAGTTTACTAAGAAGTGATTGCATGATAATTATGTTGGGAAAATGACAACTTATTAGCAAGAACAAAGTTATTTATTAACTTTTAAATAAACATTAATTTCGTAAGATAAAATGAGGCATAATTAACATTTTAGGTGATACACTGTCTTTCATAAAGTTTCTAAAATAAGTTTTAACAATCACTGAATAAATCAATTTCAAATGTAAACTTTTAAAGTTGCCGAGCTGATCCTCCAGTAGGAACTAGATCTGGAAGCTTCATTACGTCATCATTCTTATCGATTGCATATATAGTAGTATCATCCTCCATATGTTTTTGAAAATCCAGATTATTTTTTATGTACTACACGTCAGAATTATAATCCGATAAATGTAATAATAAATGGTATAATAATAATAATCACATTAATGTTAATGTTTTTAACACCATGGCTGTGACTTTTTCAATGTCCTCTTTAATTACAGGTTTTTTCTTGACACAAATTGCACTTCGTGGCATTTTGTTTTTTCTTCAGATAAACTTTTGACATCGGCATTTCACATTTAGTTGTAAAGCATAACGTAATTAAATTGCATAAAATAGGATTTCACTATAATTTTGCCGAGCAAGCGGCCAAAAAAACAAATACTTCACTATTTTAGGAAGTTCGGCCTTTTTATTTACAAAAAAACTCTTTAGGTTTTCCACTAACTAGAAATACTGATGCGAGAAAATCTATTTTTTTCGTGTAGAGAGGAATAAATGGAACAATGCGTTTTGTTTAAATGAATGCAAATGTATATTTCCTGTCTTTCGCGCGGGCGCACTCTACAATTACATACTACAAACTGCAGACACTGCTTCAACACTAGTTACGTTAAGTGTATATCTATTGGAATGTGCTTCAGAACAGTTGGTGCATTCTTAAGTGTATACAAATGTTACGTGCTTATCCAATGTGTCTGAATAATTTGCGATAGATACCGCAGACGATATCCCAACTATTCACCCATTGATTTACTGAAGGGCTCTAGCTTACTAAGAAGGAATCCAATCTCAATAACACGGTCCACTCATAATTCTAACAAGTGCGAGACTGGAACAACCTCAGTCCGTATAATTACATTTGAAATTTGTACTGAAAAAGAAGATGACGTACTTTCCTTGGACCGGTCTTAAATCACTGAGTGGCGTGCAATGTGACGAAGAAATACTGAGGACAAAAGCGGAGTCTTCCAGAGGTGGAAGTGCAGACCTAAGCCAGCGTAAGCAGACGACCAGTTCTGAGATTAGCATCACTTGCTCTTACGCTCATGCGAGAAAACCCTACATTTGTGCACAATGTCGTCCCAGACTGATCGATCGATCGATGTGTTGATTGATTTGATGTTTCCGGGAAGTCAATTCATAGATCATTAGGCGCGTTAGTGAAGTGAATATGTTATAACGTGATGTGGTGGTGCTCCTCCTCCCTCCCCTGGATGGTGAGATCAGGGTCCGACCTACACGTCGGAATGCGAAAGATTTTCCCTTCGAGGTACCTCCCGCTGCAAAGAACCGTCCCCACTAGGACAAGCTGTACGCTCCCCACTGCTCTCCCGACATGTGTAGTGGTGCAGTACATGTCAGTGTAAGTAATTGTGAAAGGAGGAGACAAGTGGAGAAAGGTGAGAAAACCAGGGCAAGGAAGAGGAAGCTAAGATCGCGAGCGGATCCTGGCCCGTTTCATAGGGCCCTGCTCCGCCATAAGCATTTAGAAGAAAAACTGTGGAAAACGTCCAATCAGAGCAGCCGGATCCTAGAATTCTCCTCCAGACCGCTTCCGAGTTTGGCATATCCTGCGACATCCAGCGCCTAATGTCGCTGGATC